AAAAGAAAAACTTCGTTGATGCCAAGTATTTGGAAATGCTAGTCATTTTTTTATTATTATTTTTAAAAAAAAAAGATTGCCAGCCCTTTTTCGGGTTAAATTTGGAGCCAAACATAAACGAGGATGATTTCTTGCTTTGGTATCCATTCGCTCTAAATGCCAATACCAGCAGCAATCCTATAATACTTGTAAAAATCAATTGAACATGCTAATTTTAATAGCCTGGAAAACAAAAAGTTTGTAGTTATACACAACTCTACTTCCCTATATTATACATTGCCATAATTGCTACATATTGTTCTGATTACAATCTAACTCTTCAAAAATCAAAAACTGAAATGTAAATTGAACTAGATTGAGGGTAATCACATGCACGTGTCAATGACTAGATTTGCAGTACATAAAGGAAGTACAGAAACAGTTGGGTACATCTGATGTGTTCGCTTCTGTCAGGTCTACTTCTATCCAGTTGAATGATTCTTGGATCTGATATAGATACAATCTGGGGCATTGACATACCACCAGACACAACAATTTCTATATGCAAAGCATATAACAAGGTTAAATGTTGGCACTTGATTTATAATCGAGCAATATGTGTGTGTCTATGCGTGTGTGATGCAGGTATGGTCTAATAACACGGCGCAATCATAAAAAGAGTAACAAGGAAATCACTTACCAATTCCCTCTCGTACAGACAAGTTTGGTCTAATAACATCATTGGAGTTGACCAGGAATACATCACCAATGTAAAGATGATTTGTTGGGAAATAAACGCAGCAAAGCTCTTCGTCTCCTTAATAAGTCTGAATTGAGAAAAGAATACACCCCCGTCTATTAAAGGAACAAATAAATGTCAGCCACTTCTTCGAGGTAAACCAATTGAACTATCGGCAGCTCATTTATATCACATAATCATTTGCCAATGAAGTGCCAGCTGATTCACAAAAACTTCCCTGTTTGATCTGTCAATTGAGTTCCTAATGTAAGCTTTGTTTTCCAATATTTGCACGCAAGAGGAACAAACCCCACCAACACCATGCAGAACACATTTTTCTGTGTGAAGTCAAATTATGTAGTCAATTTAATA